GGTCCTGGCTGAGCTACTGTAGAACACACTACATTTTTGTGCCGCTTTCTACGAACATGGCTACTACAAATTCCGCCTTAGGCAAACAGAGAATTTAGAGCTCCACACAGTAATTGTAAGTGATGATGATGGTAACAGAGTCCTGATCAAGGAAGTAGGTAGGAGTGACTGAAACAGGAATCTTCATAGAAATGTCTGCAAATTAATTAATTAAAAATCATTCAAACAGGGATGAAAACAAGGGGAGCGAGATTTACAAGACAGACTGTGACAGCGAGAATGGTTATCAATATATAGACATGCATGGAGTGTGAGCATAAGAAGAGGGCTTACCATAACAGCAATATGTTTAGTCACAAAAAATCCTGGCCTCTAGTAAGTACAGTTTTGTGTATGGATGTTATAAGGTGTAAGGCATTGTAACTGCATTGAATGGGGTTTTGATGTGCTCAGCGTAGAGCAAAGAGGATAGATAGACGGCTATACATTTTGCTGCGTACATGAATGTGTGCCAATGTCAGGTAATTCGCATGCACCCAGAGGAGGTTTGACAGGGTCAAAAGGTTGACTAATCAGGATCATGTGGGCCATAAAACCTGTATGTCACCAGTGTATATACCCCTCGACTTTGGTCTTACTAGGAATAAGATATCATGCCCATATGCACACATCCTACCAGATGAAGCTGATTCATTTAGTGAGGGGCAGCTCTGGTAGCAGTTACAAACAATGAAGTAGTCAACATAGTCGTGTCAATGTCGATAATGTATATAGCAAAAAAGTCCCAAAGCCTATTAATATTGCCAATTAGTAATGTGATATTAAGCTCCGTCATTAGGAATGTGATACCTATGTACCTGGAGAACTAATGAACACATTTTTGGCAAAAGAGTGAAGTAGGTACGTAGTCCATGAACCTAGGTAATGCCTACGCAAATAGACACATTCAGGTGGACAGAAGCTGACTACTGGACAGGAACAGGTCCCGGCCAACATTCAGGTTCCTAGGAGAAGAGGCTCATTTTTTGATTGATAAGTGGACTTCACCCATTAAAATTAATGGACGTACTTGTTGGTGGTGATGATACTAGTGGAGTTGGGATGGTTGGGTTAACAGTAGTAGTAGGAGCTAGTGAGACAGAGGGTCATAATGCCACTTGCAATACAAGATAGGAAAATGACAGACGTAAAATGTCAAAATGCAACATAATGAGGATAAAAATTGTTTCCTCCTACCAGATGAAAGTCATGAAGGTGCAGCTGAAGTACCTGATCGGACAGTAGAAGACACCATGGTAGTCACTGTACCTGTGAAATGGCACACATGTAAGAGTGATAATATATTTGCATGTTTGGGGGACTTTCTCTGTGTGTTCTGAATTAGTAGTTAAAATGATGGTTCTTACAAAATTTTACAATATAAAAAATCACTTGGGTTGATTCAGTTGGCAAGGGGGAAAATGTGGTGTATCAGGTAGCTACTGTTTTATACACTGAGGTGGTAACTGTACTCGTGAAACCTGGCATGAAATAAAGTTATAGCAGTATATACTAGGAATAAGTTATCATGGCGAGTGAACATATCCTACCAGGTGAAGGTGATTCAGTTGGTGAGGGGGTGGTTCTGGTAGTATCAGGTCCTGTTGTATACACTGACAAAGACAGAGCGGTGGCCATCGTAGATGTGAAACCTAGCATGACATCAGTAGTAACAGTACTAGGAATAAGGTATCATGTCCAGTGAACGTATCCTACCAGGTGAAGGTGATTCAGTTGGTGAGGGAGTGGTTCTGGTAGCATCAAATCCTGAGGAAGACACCATGGTGGTCACCTTAGCTGTGAAACCTAGCATGAGTAGGAGAACGTAGAGACAGAGGAAGACATCAAGGAGGTCATTATAGCTCAATTATCAGGTGATGTCACCAAAAAAAGACCTGACTTGTGGATGGCAGTGATATTGCCGAAGTTATGATCAAGCCAACTGAAGGAGTAGTAGTCAACGAGACATGAGTCATACCAACATTAGTAGTGCCCACTGTAGAAGAAGATATTCGCATAATAGGCATAGCAACAGTTGCACAACATACAACATCATTCTACTTTGATAATATTTGGCACCATGACATAACCACAGCTTTAGCATCACACACAAAAAAGAAAGCAAAATAGTGACTCTAACTTGCAGTTGTAGAAGAGTGAATAGAAAAAATCACTGCAGTTGACCCTGAAGGATGGCTGAATACATGATTACATACACACCCATATTTTAACCCTTACCTTTGACAGCAATACAGTTTGACTCTGGGGGACTGGGTCACATTCTACAACATTTATTCCATCAAAAGGATCTGTGTTTGTGTAATTGTAATAATAATATCTAGAGCCAAACAAAACATTACCAAACAGTGTTATTGTGCAGTTATTAGACTCTCCAGAAACGTGTTCTGAAGTAGCCTCCACTGAGAATTGATAGGATGTATTCCTGTCGAGATGTGTTATGTTTGAACTAGTGGAAGATGCAGCTACTCTCTGATTAATGTTATCAACTCCATGACTGTAGTGTACTACATATCCAGTCACTGTGGCTCCTCCTGATGGCTGGCTCCACTCCACTATCACTGATGTAGCTGATGTCTGAGTCAGTGTTATATTGAATGGGTCAGAGGCCACTGTGTAGGAAGAAAAGCAATTATGTAGAGTCTGTATTAATTCTGTATTACAAAATAATTAAGTAATTTTTGCTATAGGACCTTTTTGATTGTTGGTAAAGCAAAAGTATCATCTACACATGCATTTTCTCAAATGTATTTTGGGTTGATTAGCACAAGAATTTGTAAGTAGTAAAATTCAGTACCTATAAGCAAATATGATCACCTCTCAGTTCCACAACATTTAGTTGATCAGCAGCAGCTCCATTAGATGCATTACACTGGTATATATCACCATCACACCCTCCAGATATTGTAGTGGTAGTGGCAGTGTAGGTATCATTTCCTATTTTCTCTGGAACCCCAACTGGTTCTACTATCATATGGCCTTGTTCTTCACCAGAATATTGTGGTCCAGAAACAGTCATATTCAGTGTCCACCCACCAGTAGACGTACATCTCACTCTGAAAGTCCCTTCCCTTCCTGACATCACCTCAATAGCACCTGATACTGATGAAACTACAGAGGACACCATTAGGAAATTCTGCCATGTTGTGGTAAGCAATAATATTATATTGGCACTATACTACACATAACAAGTGGCTGAGCAGCCTTTATCGTAGAACAAACTGTAAAAATAACAAGGGATGTGTATTATAGCGACTCCCAATTTTATACAAAGCATGATGGCACTGCAAGTGATTTAGATAAACGTTTGGAGTGGGTGCAGTGAAGTCTTGGCAATAACTAAGTCATACGCACAGTAGCCAGGCCGGGCCATGCCAATGTCTAACCTCAGCTATAATTATTTATCCTTCTAACACGGACTATAGCTGCATCAGTTGATAGCGATTCAGAGGAACGCTGGACTAGACAGACATTCCACAGTATCTTTATCTCTTCACAGTGAGCGGACCAATGTCAGCCAGTGCTGATTGTGGATGTTGGCTCTTTTCACGCTATATCTCTGGAATGCAGTGTTTCAGGAAAATATTCTCACCACTTGTAGCACAAAAGCTCTTTGTATGGTTCATAGGCTGCTAAAAAGCCTGGTGTACAAGAATAGCCGCTGACACACACACACACACCATACCTACCAACCTGCAGATATATATATCTTTGCTTGAGAATCAATGGAGCGAAGACAAAAAAAGGGGCATTTGTGGGTCGCTGCATAGCCAAAAGGTACAGCTATCAATCGAGCATACACTCGCTTGGATCATTCATACTGTTCCCGTTTTGGGAGACTGTCCTATCATTGATGTGCTTGTCCGATCTTTGCTGTGCCTGAATCGTAACTTTACGGCAACGTCATTCCCACGGTAAAGCTCGGATAAGAGCGAATATTTTTATACAACAATTTATGACCAAGAATTACACTTTGGTATACACAATAGCCAATCTAGTCCTGCACAGATTTCACAAATGCGTCCGAGAATACATGGCGTCCGATTATCGGTGGCTTACTCTACCTAAATTCACCATAAATCACCAGCGTTTTTGCTGTGCCATTGAAAAAAATATCTGAAACATACGCCCACGCACAATCGTTGGGAATCTTTTAATTGGAAGAATTATTTACTTGTACATAATGTATTCAATCACCAACATCAAAATCACAACAGTACATGTTTGTAAAAAACAACAAGTAGCCTCAGGTACCTTTGTTTAAATTACTTCTTCACTCCTCATTCTAATGGTATATAGCAAACATGGAGGTGAAACTAGGTACACATTGGGTATGACATCCTTTCCATGATAAATACATGTTTCCATGGTGACTACATAAATTGTTTGAACAACAACAAATAGCCTCAGGCAGTTCTCACTAAGGTAGCATGTAACAATAGACCATGTGATACCAAGAGAAAAAAGCTCTGGACAGCTGTTTCGGGCTTGTTGGCCCTCATCAGCAAAGCATACAGCAACTTCTCTCTCTGGCATCAGAGTTTATAAAGGCAAAGTTGAGCGCAGCACTTGTGGTTTTGAACTAATGAGATTCATGCATGGAGATGAAACTTGGTACCCATGCATATTACATCATTTCCATGACAACTACACGTTCCGTGACAACCACGTATTGTTACAACGGTATATAGCATCGTCCTCGTCCTCCAGCTCTGCAGCTGGAGCCACGAACCAAGGTTAGAGTATCATAACAATCCATGCTGTGCAGTAGTACAATATATTTTCCAGGGTTTGTCCTGTCTTCATTTATATAATGTCCGTAGGCACTACTACGATCCCCAACCAAGGCAGTTGTGTTGTATAGAATGGCCCTTCTGGGCTTCCGTACCTATAGGGATGGGATACCTGAAGCATGGTTAATGAACAGATTTGAACACGCTGACACCCCCAACCCCATCACACTATCCCTATACTGTTGCCTAGTTGAAATATTAACATTCAACATTACACAATAGTCAGTACTTACAGCTTGAAAATACAAAAAAGTCATGCTACTGAGTAACCAAGAGTACAAATGGAGTGGCACACCAGGCAACAATGGAATGTGTGATGGGGTCGGGGGTTTCAGCGTGCTCAAATCTGTTCATTAACCATGCTTCAGGTATCCCATCCCTATCTTGTCTCCCTTCTCCTTTTCAAATTTGCAGGATTTTTAGTTTACTTGTACTATGTACTAATGAAAAGGGAGAAGTGCCCACCTACCTACATGCTATGCTTGTATTTTAACACACCTTTAAATTCAGACAAAGAAGAGGATAAAATGCATAATTATTTCTCTGCTTAAAACTCAAAGGCCTATTTAAAAACCCGAAGACCAAAGACAATGAGCATTCTTGTTCACTCACTTGGAAAGTAGATACTAACAGAGACAGAGGATTGTCTGCCACGGGCTCCAGGACGATAGAAGCATGTAAAATTTCCCTCTTTTGCTTGTTTATTATGAATCACAGCAATCCATCCTGAAAGACCACCACCTTCGGTCGCAACTCGTGGAATTTCTCCTTCCTCGAACTGCCAATAAAATGCTTGGCTACTAATTCCGTTTGTAGCATTAGGTACACACACTGGACCACTGACAACTGAATCCTTATTGGCATCACCAGTTAACTTGCTAATATCAGTGACGCTTATGGGTCCACTGATATTTTCCATATATTCACCAAACTTCATGAACAGTTTAACTATTAGGAAAAACAAACAAAACCAAAAATAGGCGTCTGCACTACAATTGCATCTACAAATTGAATGAGAATCCTGTGAATCTCCTTTTAACAACGTAAACAGCATATTATAGCTCTATACAAGAAGGATAGTGCTATGTGCACGGCCATGTTGTTTAGGCTGCACAAAAGCCTATAAATTATACACTATTCTGGATGAAGGTAAGAGAGGGTTGCCTCAATAGCTACAGATTAGTGATTAGTGACACATAACCTTTTAGCTAGCCACATCACGAACCTCCTTTTTCCATTACCGGACATGCAACGCTTTAGATAAAGTAGTTACCAGGTAGCTAGCTTTACACGGCTTAGCCAGTATATAGCTAGCCAATAAAGAGCTCAGTGCTTACGGTTTGGATTCCCACCGTTTTCCTGGGAATAGGTGAAAAAAAAACACCAGCATAGAGCGAAGAGGATAGTAACGCAACTATACATTTTGCTGCCACTTGCTGCGTACACGAATGCGTGGCAAAGCCAAGTGCACGCACCCCCTACGCGCAGATTGATAAGGCGTGGTTCGCGCGCGGATGTTCCGCGAGAATTGCGATGCGTGTAAAGACGCTGACGGACATCCGTGCGTTATATTACGCCTTGACCCGACATTGCTACTTAAAAAAAACACATCATTATTATTGCGATCGGGAGCGAGCCAACCTAGTCGTCGCAACGGGCCGATTTTTCTATTTATTGGCGAGCGGGAGCGAGCTAACCTAGTGGTCCAAACGGCGCGATTTTTCTATTGATCAGAGCGTCGGTAGACGCTCTATATAGGGATGACACGAGTGAAATCTCACGTGATCCGCGTACAAAACGCCTCAAAACTCAGCGAGAATGACTCACCATGGCTTCAAAATCACTAGCAATAGTCTAGAGGCCAATACCTAGCTATACATATGCCCCAAGACTTCCTACGTGCCCTCAGTTCCCCACGAGAGAATTCGCTCTTACGCGATTTCGCGATTTTCGTGTCATCATCATATTCTTCATCTTCTTCTTCTTCTTCTTCAGACCCGCTAGCTCCTTACCGGAAGCAGTTGAAGCGTTGATTTTTTCACAGAACGTCTCCAAATTTTCCGGAGGTGTGCACGCATATCAAGCGATCGCTTGTTTCTTGCCGCAAGTCACTACGGTAGATCGTTGAGCTCTTCCACGGTAGTCACTGGACAACGCCATTTGCTGCTAACTCAGCATCAGTGCCGAGGAGGGCGTTTCCCCAATGCGGTGCGCGCGCATTACTATAGTCTCGTGCGTGAACCAGACTAAGCCAGGATGCCTGCAGAGGAACTCTTATCCTCCAGTGCCTTCTGTAAGTCAGTATACACATTTTTAACTGGCTGGCTTGCGTTTTGCTGTTGATTTGCACGAGGAGCAACATGGCAGTGTGCACCGTGTTAGCTATACGCGGTCCTTGCACAGCGCCTTCATTGTTTGTCCCCCAGGTTATAGGTAGTCTGATTACTGAAGCCTGCCTATGAAACCACCCCACCATATGCGCCACAACCTAATTGCATCGTTGTTGGAGACACTACGCATACACCCTGCTTCAGGTAGGAGCAGCCCATTACCTTCTGCTTTCAACAGTTATCTCTACAACACCCATGAACATCAGAGTGACTGAAAATGCAGTGTTGTCATAAGGCATGAAAAATAGTGGAAACAAGTGGAATAATCATTTCTTCAAAATGAAGGGGGATAGAGGGATGGCTTGAAGCACAAAAAAAGAAGAAACAAGGGGTCATTACACAGCAAAGCTACATGGCACCATCCCTATATCTTTGTGTTATAGTTCACAACTAAAGTTTAATATGAGACAAAGATATAGGGATGGTGTCATGTAGCTTTGTGCATCTTTGCTGTGTCATGACCATTTGTTTCTTCCTTTGTGGTGCTTCAAGCCATCCCTATATCCCCCTTCATTTTGAAGAAATGAGTTTTCCACTCGACCGCGTACGTTGTGTAAGTGCGCATGCGCGGCTTCGTTACATGCTTCATGCATGGGTGTTAGTCTGACAACCGTGGCAACCATGGATCATCAGTCTACAGAGGATGCCCTTCGTCGTCGAAGAGAGCGGGAAAGAGAACGTCGTGCCCGTGAGACTCCTGATCAGAGAGAGGCTCAACGCAGACTGCGTGATAGAGAACGGGCTTCTCAACGCCGACTGCGTGATAGGGAACGGGCAAGTGAACGCCTCGCGGCCGAAACAGCAGAAGAAAGGGAAGCACGACTAGCGAGACGTCGTATACGAGATAGAGCTAGACGAGCTGCAGAATCAGGGGAAACGGAACAGGCCAGGCTCGCACAGCTCCGAAGCTATCAGGCAAGGCGAATTGCTGCTGAGTCCAGCGGGGAGAGAGAGGCCCGCCTGCAACAGGCACGCAGGAATCAAGAGCAGAGAGTTGCTGCCGAGTCCAGCGAGTAGAGAGATGCCCGCCTGCAACAGGTACGCAGGAATCAAGAGCAGAGAATTGCTGCCGAGTCCAGCGAGGAGAGAGAGGCCCGCCTGCAACAGGTATGCAGGAATCAAGAGCAGAGAATTGCTGCCGAGTCCAGCGAGGGGAGAGTGGCCCGCCTACATCTGGTACGAAGTAACCAACAACCAACGAATTGCCTCAGAGACTCCACAAGAGACTGAAGCAAGATGTCAGCGTGACCGAGAAAGTCACGTGCAGCAGGCAAGTACTGCCACTTCAAACCAACCTCAACTTCCCCAGCCAAAGATAAGCAAGTTCCATTCTGAAATGGCATCTTTGCAGATGTCCCTGTGCATCACTTGCCGTGGGAGGTTCCCTGGCTTGACTGTCTGGATGACTCCATCTGGTATATTATCTATGATCTGGTACAGAGTGTTTGCGTTGTGTTTGTGACAAACACAGTCCATTCTACAACGTATCGACTGGGGACAGTGCTAGTTCTGTATTGTACAGCTAGACTTTGCTCTCTACACGTTTTATCTGACTTGTGTATGTATGTACCTGCCATGCCATAGTGGGTCCGTGCAATGACGATGATAAGTACTTGGTCGTCTGTGTGTGTCGACGCTTATAATATTCCGGTATTACAGGTCACGAGGCGGGCTCAGAACTACGCGAACCTGAAAAACTAAAAGGTGATTTTCCTGAACGCTGTGAAAACAAGCAATAATCGCACTGGGCTTACCTCGACCTGATCCGCTTGCTCTGCGTACCTTAGAGGTTCAAGAAGTCACAACGAAGGCCGTGTATAAACTCCCGCATGCTGTCTACTTGTGTAGCTAGCCCGTGTCAGACTCTCCGCGAGCTACTGTGGAGAAACGCGTACTAAATAGCCCAGCCCATCAATAAGCGGTGTCACGCATGCGCAGTTCTCCGAGGGTTTGCACTTCAGTGCTTTTCACCCTCGGTGCGCATGCGCAGCAAGGGTACTGTAGTTGGGTTTGTGTGTGTGTCTGTTACTCTCAATCTCACTTCTCGAATGTCTGTTCGTCTCACAAACGATACGACCTACTTAACGGGCAATGAAGGTCAGAAAATCGAACGGTTTTCTCTGAAAATGCTTCGTTGCAAAGCTAGAGCGCTTCCGCCATTGTACGGCTAATGCTAGTCGGCCATTTTTATCGCTGCGGAAAAGGCGCATGCGCTTATATTTTGAACGGGCTCGGGTCCGCTTGCTCTGTGTATCTTGAAGGCACGAGAAGTCACAACGAAGGGCGTGTATCGACTCCCACATGCTATCTACTACTGTAGATAGCCCCCCGTGTCAGACGCTACTAGCGGGAGACCACGTCGAGTATACTACATACTGATAGCAGCCCAGCCCATCAATTAGCGGTACCGCGCATGCCAAGTTCGCCGAGGGTTTGCACTTTATGCTTTTCGAACGGTTTTCTCTGAAAACGCTCCGTTGCAAAGCTAGAGCGCTTCCACCATTGTACGGCTAATGCGTAGTCGGCCATTTTATCGCTGCGGAAAATGCGCATGCGCTTAATCTCGAGACCGGGTCCGCTTGGTGTGTCTTGAAGGTATATACAACAAGTCACAACGAAGGGCGTGTATCGACTCTCGCATGCTATATGTCTACTACTGTAGCTAGCCCGTGTCAGACTCTCTGCGAGCTACTCACGGGAGACCACGAGTAAACACATACTATACTAATAGCCCAGCCCATCAATTAGCGCTACCGCGCATGCGCAGTTCGCCGAGGGTTTGCACTATTTGAACTTTTCATTATAGCTATCGTTACTATGTCATAAAAACTACAGGAGACGCGTTACCAGTATTGGCCTCAGACTGGACTGATTCAGTTTGTGGCCTACACAGTTGATCTGATGGAGGAAAAGGCAATGGAGGGATTCATCATGTGCAGAATAAGTGTCTATAATCAGAAGGTATTTCAGGTCAAATATTATGGATGTAATACAATTCTATTGAGGTAAAAACCTCACTTATCTACACTTTCTAGCTACGAGAACTTCTCACAGAAACTCATGGTGTAGATGCACATGCATGGAGTGCAGGAATATGTGGAGACTTATCTTGGCACCCATTGTCCCATTGTCCCAATCTATCCTAAGACTGTATTGAGTATGCCACCACAGGCAGGCAGTGCCCACCAGGTAGTTCAGTTGCTAACTGGAGTCCTGATGGCAGCTGCTCTCACCTGGCCACTATCACCAGTGTGATAAATGAGATATCTGCCATTCAGAGGAGAACTGGGAACCATCCTGTTGTAGTACACTGCAGGTCAGACAATGACTACTATGTCTATGCTACAACTGTGAAAAATTTGTGGAAATTGTTATGATTGTTCATCACAGAATACCTTTTGTTGCCCATCAAACCTCCGCTGAGTGTCCCCCTCCCTGTATTGTTGGAGGCTCCCTCTAAGAGTCTGGTGGCTTTGTAACCACTCAGAGCAATGGCAGAATTCGTGTGCATCCTCTCTTGTGTGTAAGCTGCTGCCACACAAAAGAATGAAAAACTGATTCAAGTTCATAATTGGCAAGCGAAGTGAGCCTACTTCATTAGTTTCAATGCGGGAATTTTTCTATAATGTGATGGCTGTTGGGCACTGCACATACTGTAATGTTCTACGTGATTTTAAAAACGCACAAAACACGCACGAAATATTGAACTGCTCGCGCTACATTCCTCTTTTATCATTGTGTTTACGAAAATCAGAAATCAAAACGCAAAAAGAATGAAAATCGAAAAATAATCCACATGAGAAAGGACAAACGAAAATCAGAAAAATTGCAGTAGTGGGCCACCGTAGTTTATCCCGCGCAGCGCGTAAAGCAGCCAATGAGCGACGAAGGTGTAAACCCTAGCGTTTACAACCAATCTGGAAGTCTCCACTTAATGTTACTAGTCAGTATACACCGATGGTTACAGCAATTCATATTGTTGGTTATGCAACAAGTGTAAAAATAATTTCTTCAAAATGAATTGGGATAGCTATAGGGGATGGCTTTTAAAGCGAACGAACAAGGGGTCATTTCACAGCTATATAAGACACACAACTCTCTGTACTACACCCAGAAACATTCTCCCTCACTACTAACAGCTGCCTTTGATGTCTATGACATACTATTACCTGGAGATGATGACACTACATATTTCTATACCTTTGTCTGATCATACTTCCCTACTTGTCAATGGAACAAAGATATAGGGATAGTGTCATGTTGATTTTTGTCTTAGCTGTGAAATGACCCCTTGTTATTTCCTTTTTGCTGCTTTAAGCCATCCCTATATCCCCCTTCATTTTGAAGAAATGATTTTTCCGCTTGTTTCAATTTATTTAATTACAAGTGGAAAAATCATTTCTTCAAAATGAAGGGGGATGTAGGGATG